AAGTTAGTACTGAATAATGTTGTTGAAATAATAGCGTCTGAATTCAGATTAGAGAGTGCATATCGCTAAAGAAGTGCTACTAGCTGCAACATCTGAGCACAAACCCAAATAATAAGCGTTCTGTTTGTTTTTGTTTTATATAGTAGTTCAGTCGTGTTCTCCATCACGCCATCCAGATAATAAACTTCCGTGAAAGTGACAAACCAGAAGAAACCATAACATGTTGTAAGGAGATGGTTATCTTGATACAACAAGATAGTTTTCTCGTTTTTACAAGATAGTTTTCTCGTTATAACGAGATCCATTTTAAAAATACTTTCATGTCATGTGACAGCTCTACACTTCTGTAGCTGTTCAAATGCTGTCTGTAGCAAGTAACATATTCATTCTTCGTAATTTTTCTGAAGATCCCCACTCTTAAATTACATCAACATAAATTTAAAATTTTCATCACCTGACATCAGTTTGGATCACCACTGGCTAACGGATAATACACAGCAAACTGTGATCATTCTTTAACGGCCTGAAAAACTGGACCCACTACAAGATTCAGCAGCAACAAAATAAAAGGTTCAAGCTGCGTGACCGCAGTCATCATTTCTCATCGCTGATGATTATGAGACTCTTCTGATTACCATGGCAACCTTGGCACTGCATTAATACAAGTGTGTGTGTGTGTATCCAATCCACAGGCATTACCATATGTAGCCACATCATTAGGCTAATGTTTGTGTGTGTGTGTGTGTGTGTGAATGCAGCATTTTTAGCAAAGGTCCTGTTAAACAAAGTGACATGCTTCCCAACACCTTGACACACAAATAGCGAGGCTGGCTATTTAGGTAAAACACACACACACACACTGCAATGCCACACTCAAACACTGATGATCTGTGTTATCACTGTATCAGTTTCCGTCAGACACACACAGATATTAACATGATGTACCGAGCAAATGCTGCCACAGCAAATCCTCACTCCATCTCTACTGACAAAAATATCCAAAGCACGTGAAGGAAGAACGGAGGAGAAGTCTTTATATTCCAGAATAAAAAGCTTCAGTGCTCCATTGTTAAGGTCCAGGCTTGCTTAAATCCAGTTTATTCTGAGCTCATCCAYGGCTGTCGGCTGGCGGGCGGAGAGGGGTGGCCGTTCCCATCCTTGCACGGCATCTCCCTCCTCCTCCTCCTCTTCCTCCTCGTCTCCGCTCCTCCACCAGCCTCCTGCCGTCTCCCTCCTCACACCCCACAGCCAATGACGGCCGAGCCCTGCTCCCCGTCAGCCAATCGGAGCTCAGAGTGCAGCAAGAGTGTGGCGGGGAGGGAGAGAGGGAGGGCACACAGGAGGAGGTGGATGTTATACATGAGAGGTGATGAGATGCGGACAAAAAAGGGATGCTGACAGCATCTATAACACAATAAGCAGATGCTTGCTCCTCCCTTTAATTAGACACTGAAGAATGTGGTGTTAAAAAAGTAGTGTACTGCTCAGAAAATAAAAATAAATAGGGAGGTAGAAAACCTTGTTTCATTAAGGATTCTACAACATTTTATTTTGAAAGTCCTAGCTAAAATAGGACTATAATTAATGTGTTTAAATATTTAAGATTATTTTATTTAACCTTTAAATCTTTAGATTTATGTCCTATTACACCGGGCCTTCAGTAGCATGCTGCCATCTGTTGGCCCCACCAGGTATTACACCTCACTTCCCCATCAGATCAAATCCCACCTAAGAACCAAACAGGGCGGCTCACCTGGGGATGCTCGTGAGATAGCGTAGCACGTTCTGGAACTCCTCCTCCTCCAGCTCGCCGAAGGCTGGGAACTCTGGGAGGACGATGACAGGGCTGCCGTTCTGCCCGCGGCCTCCTGTGGAGGTCAGGAGAAACATCASAGCGACATCCAGGATCAACCTGCTGCTGAGGCTGATTTTCAGCTGGATGGGAAATACTGACTGGGTCTCATGAGAATCACCAGGTTTATCTAAGAGACATCATGTACCGGATGTAGACAGTTCCTCATTGTCTTATTTGCTGCTCAAAATCATCTGTAGTTGTTAGTGCTGCTCAGTTAAGTGCTTCAAATTATTCTTTAAGTTTATATTTCAGACATTTCCTTCATAGACTCATCACATTTTGACAAACTCTTTTTACTTTATACATTTCACTACACCACCTTAAGCGCTAAAAGTTAAAAAAAATCACATATATTCTATGATTTCTGAGTAATTTAAACAAAGATGAGTCACACCTACAAGTTTATATAAACTTATTTTAAAGTTAGCTGATGATTGTGTCTCTTTTTAAAGTCAGATGACCCTGATCATGGTTTAAACACCCAGTGGTGTCAAACCTTTGCTAACTGGTGTAAGCCATATTTTTTGACATAAATGTCAGCAAAACCAAAGAAATGATAATTTATTTACAGAAAAATCAAAAATGCCATCTCTCCTGTGTACATTAATGATCAGGTGGTTGAATTTGTGGAATAATATTAACAACAGACTCTCATTTGATAAACATGTGGACACTGTATGCAAGAAAGTCCACCAACGTACGCACTTTTATCATAAATTAAGGAATTTTAACATGGACAGTTAAAAAAGTTCATGTCCAGGAAGTCCAACATTTCACTGATCACATCAACTCTGTGGATGAATATTTTTTTTTAATCACTGTCTTTTTTTATTAAGTATTTTTCCTTTTATACATACAGTTTGTGAATACAAAGAAGTGTTTATCCAATAC